AAAATATATTTTTAATTAAATATTTCTTATATTTTAATGATCAAATGAATTAGTTGAAGGGCTTTTTAAAATGCTACACTTTACCCAAGGAGGAAACAGGTAGGAAAGAATCTATATTTCTTAACAAGCAGGAAGGTTCTCTCAATGCTGCTGGCTCAGGACTCAGTTTGGGTAGAGAGGTACTGATGCTGCTTATTTTTCAGCAAATTTATTTGAATATTCTTATATTTTTAAATCCCACTCTGATCCCCCACCCCCACCCACAGGCTAGGTATACTCTTCAGTACTTCTGCAGAAGTTCAATCTGCTTACCAATTTTATGGTACAGCTGACTCTTGAGTAACTCAGGCATAAGAAGTACCAACACTTATGTTGTCAAAACCCCACAGTTAACTTTTGATTCCCTCCAAACTTAACTAGAACCATTTTTAGGTATCCATAGGAGAATGGTTTTAGGAAGTATACACATGCACATAGCAACTTGGATACTGAAATCCTTGAATGAAAAAGGAAGTTATAATTGACCTTTTGTTGGCATATGTAGCTTTCATATCTATGAATTCAACTGATAAACTAAGATTGGTTGAACATGTATAAAGAAATCATAAGTTTTTAAATACACACATGTAAGATCAAACTCATGTTGTTCAAGGGTGTACTGTAATTACTACCTACATATAAATAACTAAGAGTTATCTGAAGAAATCGATACGTTAACTGCTCCATCCCAGATCCTAGCACATTTTATAGTTAGCTTCCCAGTAGCATGTATTTTGTGAATGGATGCAAGCATGCATATAATATATCTGGTTAGATAAATTAAGTGAGCAAGAACAAAGTTATACTGTTAATGGTCAGTTCATAAATATTTTAGGTTTAGTGAGGCATTTGGTCTCTATAGCAACCACTCAAGTGTGCTGAAGATGACACCAATATGCGTGTTCTTGATTGGGTCCTAACGACTTTTTTTACAAGACAGTTTGTGGGTTGTATTTTATCTAGAAACCCTCTGACCTAAAGGATTTCTTTGCAATTTGCAAATAAAGCTTGGTTAGTTTTATTTTATGCTTTAACAATGCTTACTGATGCAAATTTTCTTATGTATATCAGGTCTACAAGGACACTGAAGAGTGTGAATTAAATCATCTATAAAATGAGAACAAGACTAACCTACTTCATATCGCTTAATTTAGCCTCTGACTCTCCCACTGATAAAGCAGGACATTCTTTTATGCTTAATTCCGTCTGAGACCTCAGTTTTCCTTAGAGATTAGGCTGTAGCTCACTTATCCAAATTATATATTTCTTCTTGTCTTCGGAAGCAACTGGAGGTCAACAGTAGCATTCAGATATCAAATCTTCCAGCTGGTAGCCCAGGTTCACTTTCCTGGACAAGAGATGGGAGCTTGGGTAATTGTGTTCAATAATACAGACACTGAGAGCTAATTAATAACCCTGGCAAGGCACCTGTACCCCAAATGCACCCCAAAACTGCATTTTCTCTTCTTCTTGCTCCCATTACAGTGGAAGAAAAACTGCACATATCTAGAAGTTATGCTGATTGGATAGAAGGCATGGCAGCTAGACCAGGGCTCCTGGCTTCCCTGGGAGAGTGATAGGAAATGTAACAAACCCATGTGTCACACATTCCTATCCAACTGTTCCCGCCAAATTGACTTCTCACTTTCAAAAATCTCCAGGAAGACTGCATAGGACAAAGAAACACCTCGGTGCTTTGATGTAAACTACTTCAATCCTAACCCTATGTTCTCATCTAACACTTATCACTTGGCACCCTTTCATGGAGCCTTTTCCCCTACTCAAGTGCTTCCAGATATGGGTTAGTGTAGAAGTGTGAAGTTTGTACCAGGTCAAGATGACTTGAGAAAAAGCATATGAGGGGCCTTTCTAGTCCACCACTGTGAGCACAACCTGCTATCTCATTTTTGGGGTGGGGGGTGGCAATACCCAGAATTCACAGGGCTCTCTTCTGGTTCAAAGCTCAGGGGTCACTCCTGGTGGGATTCTGGGGAACTTACGTGGCACTGGAGATGGAGAAACTGAGTGGGCCACATGAAAAGAAAGTGCCCTACCTGCAGCATTATCTCTCCAGACGCTGTTACTCAAATTGTTGTCAGATAGCTAGTGCGCTGTATCACTGTCATTCTATTGTTCATCGATTTTCTTGAGTGGGCACCAGCAATGTCTCCTTCATCCTAACCCTGAGATTTAGAAAGTGCCACATTTGAGGCTCTTTCAGGGTCAGAAGAATGAGACCAATCATTGTTACTGGTTTTTGGCATATTGAATATGCCACTGGGAGTTTGCCAGACTCTGCCATGTGGGCAGGATACTTATGATAGCCTGCCAGGTTCACCAGAGTAAGAACTAGATAACAACAAGATGTCTCGGCCGCGCACTTCTGGGAACTGAATTTTATAGTCTCTGGGTCTTGGCCATTGATGGGACTACATGGTGCCGGGGGCAGTTGGTGGGTGTACCGCCTACATACTGGAAGATAGGGGATCTAGGTGGAAGAGACCCAGTCCCAATCTGAGCAGGCTTGGAGATCTAAGATCCAGGGACTATAAAACCCAGCTCCCGGAAGAGAATAACGCAGAGTCTCCTGCCTCTGCACCTGGCTATCCTCACTGGGCCCTTTGGAGGAGGGCGGGTTGAGTTTCGCCCCCCCTACCCTGAGCAGAGCCCGGGCAGCTGAATTCCTCCGGTTCCAGCCACAGCCATGCTTAAGACCACTCTCCACACATTTCGACAAACTTCACGCATGAAGGAACAGGCAGAGGAACCCAGGTGTGCGGGACCAGGGGCTTAGACATCTATTTAAAATGTTTAATTACAGATCTCTGTGTATGTTTATTTAATTTTTATCTTCCTAGACATTTATATATCCCATCAAGAAAAAGCCATTTTGTGTTTTTTATCTCATGCCCAAAGTGCAGGATGATTCTCAAAGATCACAACTGGTATGACAGAGCGGGTCCCTACCAATCAGAGCCAATATTGGTCTTTGTGCTGCACCAGTGCACACCAGTGGGGACAACAGAGTAACCTTATCGAAGGTTAAGCACTATGTGTCATAGAGAGTAAATGCTGCAGTACTGCAAAGACATGCAAAAAAAATTTGCACTGTATGTGTGTTATAAAATAGGTAAAAATCAGTAACATTGGAATAGATATATGTGTAATATGTTTTTATAAAACTAAATTAATTCCATTCAAATGACTGTAATTCATTATTAAAATATTTCCTACTTTATTTCAGAGGATCAAAATACCATTTTAAAAATTATAGTTGTAGGGGCCAGAGTGATAGTACAGTAGATTGGGCATTTGTCTTGCATGTTTCTTGGCTAGATCCCCAGCATCCCATATAATCTCCTAAGCACTGCCTGAAGTAATTCCTGATTTCAGAGCCAGATGTAACATGAGGGCATTGGTGAGTGTGACCCAAAGACAAAAAAAAATTATGGTTTTACTAGGTAGTGAAGGAATTTAAAATATTATTTATTTGTCATTCAGCAAATAAAAAAAAATAGTAAACTGTATCTACCCTAAATTTTGAAGTACTGTAAGTTAATCAATTCCAGGATCGAGGAAAGTTCTACTTTACATTATACTTTCACTGTGATGATGATGATGATGCTGATTAACATACAGCTCACACACCATATCTTCCCTCCATTTATTTTAAGAATCAGGTATTATCTAGCAAACTATAGAGAAACTGGAAGTCTGAGTAAATAATCAATGAGGGACTCCTTACCTTAAATTCTACTTTATACAGAGCAACTGTTACATTTTTTAAATTAAATTTTATTATTTTAGCTCAATTTTTAATTTTTTCCACAGTTACAAAGTTGTTCATGATTGGGTTTTCTCATACAATGTTCTGAAACTTGTCCCTTCACTAGTGTATATTTCCCACCACCAAATGTTCCCAGTTTCCCTCCCACCCTTCCATAATATTAACACTTTTATCCATTTTACTTAAATGCAATTTAAAAAATGAAAATAAAATATGGAGGTGATAGAATTGAAAAAGTGCTTGTAGCTTCTGATAGATTCATCAAACCAAGCCCACATCAGTAGAGCTTGACTTCAGCATTCACCTAACAGATCTATGAACCCTCGCTAGAAGAATTAGAAATGGCATCATTTTAACAATCCTCCATAACTTTTGTGTACTTACTAGCACATGGTAAAATTTATAGAATATAGATTCAATTGCTAGTAGCTTCTGTAGACCTCAATAAAACCTCAATTAGAACAACAACAAAAAAATTCCTGAACACTCCATTGTATTGAGGGGACATGACATGATAAAAGTAATGAAAGATTGATGCAGAGCTAGGAATTGAGCCTTTTAGGTAATTGTGACTAATCTCCCAAAGTTTTGCTCTTCTCTGAATCCTAACAAGCAGCATCACTCTTTGGTCTCTCTCTCTCTCTTTCTCTCTCTCTCTCTCTCATATCTAGAAAGATATGAGATATGAAAGATATCTAGATATGAAAGATATCTAGAAAGATATGAGGGTATGTGCTCAAGATAGAACACAGGTTTCTCCAGAGTGGAAATAGGGAAGCAACGTACAGAGAGACAAGCAAGCAAAAAACATGCTTAAGGGGAAGCACAGTCTTGAATATAAGGCAAAGCAATCATCACTCTTAATGTACAGCTCTATCCTGCCAAAGTCTCAAGGTGCTTCACTTCTTTTTAGGAGAATGGAAGGCAATTACTAGAGAGAGAAACTATAATATGCTTACAAAACATCAGCATTCAAATTTGTCCTAAAAACCTCCCAGTTTGGGAGTGTAAATTGGTGCACTCAGTTCTGCAGGGCCATTTGGCAAGTACTAACAAAACACATGCAGGAACAATTCCCAGCATCCATTCTTCAGCATACTCTCCAGAAAAACACTACAATATGGACATAGAAGTTCATTGCCTATGAACCTTGCATTATAAAAACAAAACACATATTTTTACCTGGCAGAGGAAATACCATTATCACGAAGGGTGGCTTTCCCAGAGCAAGACTGATCCATTGCACTCCAGATGTGCTGACCCCTGCGATTTCTTCAAGTATGGGAAACTCAACTACAAAATTTATGGTAGCGGGGGACCACGTTCACCCTCTTCACCTAAAACACACACACACACACACACACACACACACACACACACTGAAAGACCCCTAACTGTCCTTCAATGAAAGACTCTATCAGTAATTTATTGTCTGATGGTCTGTAGGATACTATTCAGGAGAAACAATAGTTACACCAATTTACTAATGGGGGTGCAGATACAACTCAAAGGGTACAAATGAGACAAAAACAGTTAGAGAAAATCAAAATAATTTGAACCTCTGCTTAGCCAGTGCATATTGCCATGACAAAGTAAAAGTCTGTGCAACTTAAACAGCAGAAACATATTCCCTCATATTTCTGGTGACTGGAATTTTGAGATCAGAGTGCCAGTAAGGTGAATACTAGTGAGAATTCATGACCTATAAATTATCTCCTTTTCTGGGACTAATTTTTTTTAAACCAGGATCCTCTTCTCATCAAAGAATTACCTGTCAAAGGCTTATTTCCAAATACCTTCACACTGAGAGTTTGGGAAGACAGCAAAAGTCATCCAGAACAACTGCTAATTCCCCTTCTACTCAGAAAATTGGGAAGACGCAGGCACTCCGATGATCATAACCTTGCCTTTGGCCAGAGAGCTCAATAATAGAATAAAACTTCTACTCCATAACCAGTGCTTTCTTCCATTTACCACAACAAACACCTATTCCTCTCTGCTGCCATATTACCTTTGTAAAAATACATACTGCGTATGGCATACTTATGGCTCAAATGGGTGGACCCTAAGTTTGATACCTACCTAACTCTTCCTTGCCACCCAAATCAAACTAGATCTGTTGGTGGCCTCAAGCCCCAAAATGCACAGCATCACCAGCCCCAGCACCAAACAGGTAGCTCTCTGCTGGGTCAAGAATTTCCAAGTAGCTGCACACAACACTGAGAACCCCTCCAACAAGATATTTAGTATTTTTTCTATAGCTTTGCCTACTACTTTGTTCCACATTACTTCACTCCATTTGTGTAGGATTTAACTGAGGTATTTTTATTCAGCATCTCGCTCTCTTATTCTTAGAAAGGAATGTTTCTTGGTCTCTGTGTCTGTAAGTCTCTGCATTTTAAGGAAATGTTAGCACTTGTATCAGAGTACTGCACATGTACTTGTTGAACGTCTAACATGAAGCAGAAACCATATCAGCTTTGGGTATTCATAAAACAAGATTATACAATTCACAAGAACTTTAAACAACCTAACTGTCCAAAAATAGATGAGTGGATAAAGAAATTATGGCATATTATATACAATAGAATACAATTAAATCCTGCATTTTATTCCAACTTGAATGGAAATAGAGGATTTCACATTAAGTGAAATAAGTGATAAGGGAAAAGACAAAACCGGATTATCTCATGCATATCTGGTGACAAAGCAAGAAAGTAGATAAAATTCAATGAAAGGCAGGCACTTAGACTGAAAAAGAAAAATAAAACCAAGTTTGTCTGGGTAAAAAGTGGGAGATAAGGAAAAAGAAAGTAGAAGAGCAGAAACCAAGGAACAGTGGTGGAGGGGTATTGACACTTTGATGATAAGTACATACAGTGCCATCACTTGGTATGCCTAAAGCATAAACAGCAACACTATTGGAAATAAGTTCCCTGAATAATAACCAATTTGATATTTACTTTTTTTCCAGTTATTTCATTCAGCATGTCCCCCGCAAGATCCTTCATATTGCTGAAAATAGCAAAATATCATTTTTATAGATGCATAGTATTCTCATCTATATACAAATGTATTATGTACACATAAATATGTATCCTATAAATATACATATCACAGTGTCTTTAGTCAATTATTACCAACGAAGATTTTCATATCTTGATTATTATGAATAGTGCAGCATTAAACACAGAAATAATCATATATTTTCAAACTAGTTTGGGGATAAAGATCAAGATGTCAAATTTCTAGGCCAAAAGGTAGCTTTATTTTTCAATTTCTTGAGAAATATTCTGTTTTTCATAGTGCCTGAGTCAACCTACCTTCCCATAAACAGTTTCTGATGCTTCTCTTTTCTTCGTATTCTTGCCTAAACTTTATAGCTTTTGTTATGTTTATTTCACTTACATGTGGAAGATAAAGAATCCAAACAAATGAATAAACAAAATGAACCAAAAATGGACCTTCTGTTTCTGATGACAAAATCATGGTGACCAGAGGCGAAAGAAATGGGGTGTGGATGGAACCATGCAGAGGGGGTTATGAATGATAGTGGATGGAAACCCCACTTTTGTTTGTGAGTATGGTGTGGTATATACTAATGTCAACATGCAAAGTTGTATACCCGATGCTCATGTAGTATTGTAAATCATTATTTTCTCAATTAAAAAATAACAAAAACTAGAGGTTGTCTCAAAACTAGAAGTGTTTGTAATTTAGTGATAAATAGATGTCAATCTCGTTCTACATGCCAGCACTGTTCTTAGTGCTTTTCTAACATATTTAATAATCTCTATATTAACAACACCCATTTTCTAGATTTTTTTAAAAAAACTTAAGAAATGCTTAGATCAAATCTCCATATTTGCTAAGAAGAGTCAGAACCATTGTTCAAATTTAGAGAAACTACCCAAAATCTGATATTGATAAGATATCCCTAGATATATAAGCAGATACAACAGGCAAAACAGTGAGCAATGAGAACCAAAAACAGGGAAAAGCCCCAGTATGGCAGCATTTGAGCTAAGTGCTGAGGGTCGTTAGAGTTTATCTAGGTGAAAATAGATTAATGTTCTCCAAATAAAGGGCAACAGATGTGTGCAGAAAGGGCCTAAGGGAATAAATGTGTTCAAGATCTAGAAAATGTTAGGTGGCCAGTACCCCCCACCCCAAACAAACAGCATTTTTTGGCCTTTTATTAAAAAATAGGGGCCCACCAGAGACATTGGGTCTCCACTGAGTATTGGAGAACCCAAACAATGCCAAAGACTAAACCTGGACCCCTTGCCAGACAGGCAGGTGTTCTAATCCTTTGAACCATTCCCCTCACCCCTGATAATCTGTGCTTTTTCCTATAGAGCAATATAATATAGTTTAACATCTAAGAGTCCATGTTCCAGATGTTAGGAATGCTTGGGTTTAAATCTCAGTCCCTTGGTACTTGAGAGATAGTTCAATGGGCTGAGAACATGAAAAGCATTCTTGGTATGCAAGACACCTGGGTTTGATTCAAGGCACCACATAATGTCATTAACATCACCAGGATCAGTGCCCAATCACAAGTCGAGGACAAGCCTAGGGATACTGGCAGCATCACCCAACCTCTCCCATCTAAAAGAGAGCAAATCCAACCAATGGCAAAAACAAAATATCTGCCCCAAAATTAACTGTATCAATTTGGATATCACTTTGTTCCATCTATAAAATTAGTGCAATGGACCACAACACCCCAAAGTAGAGAGAGAACAAAAGGGAATGCCCTGCCACAGAGGCAGGGTGGGATGGGGGGGATGGGGGTGGGAGGTATATTATCCATGGTGGTGGAAAATGGGCACTGGTGGAGGGATGGGTATTTGATCATTGTATAATTGAAACCCAAGCACAAAAAATTGTAAATCTACAACTGTACCTCATGGTGTTTCACTAATAAAAATTTTTTTAAAAAATTAGTGCAATGATGTTTCTGCCTCACAGAGTTAGGGTGAGAATTGAGAAGCTTGATAATATCTAATCTCGGACAAGATACATATTTGCTTTTGTTTTTGTTTTAAGGCCATACCTGACAGTAATAAGGGCTTACTCTGTGCTCAAACATCTCTCTTAGAGGGTCTGAGGGGGATCATATATGGTGCCAGGGATTAAACCCATGTTGTCCACATGCAAGTCAAATACTCTATCCACCATACTATCACTCAGACCCCAAGATACATATTCTTTATCATCATTGTCCTCTTCACTGTCACCACCTAATACAGTTGTTTGTTTGGCATACTAATTTTGTCCCAGGAATAGATGTGAGGAAGGATGGCATTCTGGGGGCAAGTCCCAAGGCTCATGTTCAGAGTTGTTTCTGCCAGAAAGTGAACCTAAGGCTCATGAAGGGAGGGGCTTGTTTCCAGCCTGTCACTTGTTGTAATGCAAAACGTGCCCACATATCCCTTTCTGATGACAGCAAGCAAGGCCACTGCTGAAAGACAAGGACTTCTGTTAACAAGGAGAACAAAGGCACTGGGCATATTAACATTTGACTTTTCAGAAGGAGAGACAAGGACATGGAATGGGGCTCAGTGACAGATACTGCCTCAGAGAGCCCTGATGTGATCACTGGTCTGTAGAGAGTTGCACCCCAGGGGCTGCTGTGGTTGGTGATCCTGGGACCTGTAAGAAGGTCCAGGACAGGAGAGAAAGCAACCTTTCCTCAGTGCTGTTTTTTTGGCAATCATACCAAACTTACATTTCTAGGATATTTTCATTTCAATGCGCATTTAAATCTATTAATTTATTTGAAACCTAATCTCTGTATCTTAATTTACAGAGCAAAACAAAGTCCCGGAGAAGTCATATAATTTGCTAAGGAACATATTATCTCTTACCAGCAAAGCCTAATTAACAAGTGATTAGAAGAGGGAGATCATCTCTAGGCATGAAGGACTGACCCAAAAATCCCACTCCTTTCTACACCTATCTCAATACTTGGGATTTCACATTTACTTCTGTATTTTTCTTTAAGGTACATGTTAAGAAAACTTTTAAGGGACCTGAACATGGGCTAAAGCATCTTTTTTTTGAATACGAGGCTAATTCAATATCAGATCTACCTATATGCACTGAGCCCAGCTGATCCACAGCTTCTGAGAAAAATAAGTGTCTGGCTATTTTTCAACCACAGTTTTGGGGTGGTTTATTATGCAGCATTAGGTAACCAATATATCCATAATGTAATTATAACAGATTGTTAATATGCAGCAGAAAGAATGTATCAGTATAATATCCAGATAAGTGTATACAAAACATCTCAAAACTAGAGTCTTTCAAAATTGTCACTCATCTGAA